CCTAGTTCGTCGGGGGTGAAAATAGTGACCCATAAATGTATGTTTGAGCAAATGCAACTACAAAATTTGCTAAGTATGGATGAGAAATTGGAGTTTTTAGAAAACCACTTGCTATTGTCTTGCGGAGACACTGTGGAAAGAAAAAAGAGCCTTAAGCATAAATTTTCCTACATCAAACACCAATTTAAACAGAGGTGGCTAAAAGCTCATAAAGTTGAAGAAGTTTTTATGAAAAACAACCAGAAGTGGCTGGAAGGCACTTTTGAAATACCAGTGCATTCGCTTAATCAACCAGGTCGTCCGAGCAAATCATTTTCGGATTCGAGTGAACGAAGCAAGAGAAGAAAAACTGAGGGAATTCGATGAAATGTTGATGATGAAATTATTGTACATGCCGCACAAGTCATATTGCAAACGAAGGGAAAAAGAAATGCCTCAAAAGTGCTCAAAGATATAGGAAATTCACCAACAAAGGCTAGTAAATATAGAAAAGCCCATTCCAAGACCAATGAAACTATTGCTCCTTTGGTCCCGTTCCAAGCACTCAAAATGTTCGTAGAAGCTGACCTAACAAGACGACAATATGAAATAATAAGGGCAATTAACCCAAAGCATTACCCTTGTTACGACCTTTTGTTGAAAGCAAAACAAGAATGCTACCCACCAAAGACGGCATTATGAGTAACAGCTACCTGCGCAGAAATTAGTTTACAATGCCTAATGGATCATACTATTCAAMGATTATCAATCTACCTGGAAGAAGTGTTATCAACCCTTAACGAAATTGAAAGAAAGTCATTAACGGTCATTTATAAATGGGGGTGTGACGGGTCACAACAAGCACGGTACAAACAAAAATTCTGGGATGCTRGTATATTTTTGAGTTCTTTTGTCCCACTTCAAATTATTTGTGGTAAAGAAAACAATAAAGTGTTTTGGCAAAGCCATCATCACCACGGTTTTGCCGCCGCATCAGACTTCGGTATGTGAAAGAAACTACAGATGTAACAAAAGAGGAAATAAGTTATGTGCAAAATTAAATTAAGAACCTCACTCTTACAAAAGTAAATATTGATGGAAAAGAATTTTCTTATAATCACATTTTAAAAATGACCATGATTGATGGCAAAGTTTGCAATGCTGTAACCAACACGACCTCAACTAGCCGATGCTATATATGTGGTGCCACTTCCAAAGATTTCAATAATTTAAGCAAAAAGAACGAGATAAGTCCCGATGCTCTTGAGTTTGGCATTTCGGTATTGCACGCAAAAATACGTACATATTTTTGAAAGCATTCTGCATTTGGCATATAAATTGCCCGTGAAGAAATATGGAAAGAAAAGGACTGAGGAAGAGAAATCATTAGAAGAAGAAAGGAAAAAAGAAATCCAAGAAAGATTCCGCTTAGAAACTGAGCTGTTGGTGGATATGCCTAAAGCCAATTTTGGTAATACCAATGATGGCAATACAAGTAGGAGACTTTTTGAAAACACAGAATTAGCGGCGGACATAACAGGCATTAACCACGAATTAATACACAAATTTAAAATCATATTAGAGGCGATTTCAAGTGGACACAAAATCAATACAACAAAATTCGAAGAATACGCCTTCAACACCGCGCAAATGTATGTGGAATTATACGGATGGCATCCCATGACTCCAACAATGCATAAATTACTATTACATGGGGCGACCATCATAGRTAAKGCACTGTTGCCAATCGGCCAATTGTCGGAGGAGGCTGCAGAAGCGCGAAATAAACTTTTTCGGTCATACAGACAGAATTTTTCAAGGGAAGAATGTGATAATTATCAAAGATTGCTTCTTACCTCAGATCCACTCGTAAGTAGTGAAAGATCGTTAAAGAAAACTTCACACAACATTTTTTCCAGTGAAGTTATAGAACTATTAGAACCTGCCTAGCCCCACAGACAATCAAGTATTGAGCACGAAGAAGTCGAGATAGAAACATCTTTTAATAAGACAATTTAATGCATTTTTATTTATTTATGATTTATGAGAATAAAATGTGTTTTTATTATAAATTATATGTTTTTCTTATTTATTTTCTAAAATAAATAGACAGTTTTTTAAAATACAGTCTTTCGAAGCCATTAACGTCCAAAAATAGTTTTAGCCGCCTAAATATTTCAAATCGACCACTGAGCATTTATAATATAATATCAAACATATCGTATACTTATTTAATAAATAACTCAAATATTGTTTAGAAACTAACATAATTTATTTAAAATGTTAGTTAATTAAGAACTGCCGCTTCGTGGAAGCTTTCCACTTCTCAAAGGACAGACACATATGTAAGTGCAGTCAAACTTTCCACCGTTAAACTGCAACCTAGTGGTGTTTCTAACTTTTGTTTAGAAACCGAGGATAATGGAAAAACATGTGTTCAGAGTTTTTACTGACTCCATACACATCCAAAAATACGGACCGACGTCATTTTGAAATTTTTATTGATAGCCCTCTGAAGTAAGCTCGCTTAAGTTTGGGTCAGGTGGAAATCCAGGTCCTCATGTGGTCTTCTTATTCACGTATGGATGTCAGCTATAAGTCTGTGGGTCCACCGTCCTTTAGTTGAGGTTTGGGACCGTTGGCGCCATACGCTTATGCTCTTCTTTTACTCTCTTCTCTTTTGGATTTCTGTAATTGACGCTTATAGCTCATATAATCTCGTGAGCTCGTCACCCTGGATGTCTATGGTCTGCATACTAGTTAGTTCTTCAGCTGTTTCGCTGGAAATAGTTCGAAAAGCACGCGTTACTCATATTGCTGTGAGTCTATACTCCGCATTTATTGGTCTGTCATATTTTATGTTTAGTGTCTGTATCCACACTGGAGTTGCATATAGTATAACTGACCTCATCGCTTTTGCGATTAGAAGTTGGCGGCTGGAGCGCACACAGCCTCTATTTGCCATTATTCTTGATAAGGCGTTATTAATGTAATCTGCTTTATTTGCTATGTTTGTCAAGTGCTGCTTGAATTTCGCACTCTCCTATAGTAAGAGTTATTAGTTCCTCAATTTTCCTGGTGGTTATGAGCAATACCTCGGTTTTGTGCTCAGCCAATTACAAACTCATGAAAGAAAACTATTCGCGTAGACCATTTATGCATTTAATACATTTATTTTGGAGGTCATCGAGTTGTTTAGCTACTGCTACCACTATAAGTCCGTCCGCGTATTTTGGTTATGGTATTCTTAGAACCCCACCATACACGAGATTCTATACCAGAGGGCATAAAACTGAACCTTGTGGTACTGCACTTGAAATAGGGTAGCTCTTGATGCCTTCGGTGGTGTCGTAGATCAGCCTTCTATTTTCAAAATAATTCATAACGATATTTATGAGTTACTGAGGAGCGCGTATATAAGGCTTCGAATATATAAGTAAATTTAGCATAGATGAATGCATTCTTCACATACAGAGTGATCAGCGCACTACATTTTTTTGTACCACCTTTCCATCTTTTGAAACTTGCTGCAATTTTCGCAGATTCGACTATTAGACCTCTATTTCTGAAGCCGTATTGTCTTTCAGATAGCGGTTTCTTATTATGCTTTCATACACCGTGCCCATTGTGTCGAGCATACACAGAGATTCATCTTATGGTTCTTTTGGTTTTAGGATTAAAACCAACCTAAACATAATTTTCTTGAGAATGTCCGCATATGCTCCTCCGTCTTTTTTGTTTATAATAATGGCGTCTGGTTTCGTACGAATTATTTTTTCAACCGCCTTCCTCGTTTATACCACGTTCACCCATTTCTCGGATGCGGACTTATCTAAGGAACTGTATTTCGGTATAATATTAATGTCTTAATTGGCATAGACACCGCTTACGTGATTATAGCCACACTGCGCGCCAGTCGTTTCTTTCTTTTATAATCTTAATGACCTCACATATAACGCCTGCGTATTATTGTTCGCGTTTTTTCTTTGGTGGTAAGAAACCTCTTAATTCATGTATCCTCTTTGCCATATGGTTTTCTCTGAGGATAGGGGATACCTGCGTCGCTTTTCCTACCATAGCTCTTTTCAGCGGATTCCATGGATTTTCAGCCTTATCGTACAGGCTCTTTATGCAGCTTAAAAGATCGCTCATAGCTTGATTAATATGTCTCTGGCCAGACATCATAGTTTCAAGCTTCTTGATTTTTGTGCAAAGTTTCCAAAAAATATTAACAGTTTCACTGTTCTGCAMTTGCTCACATTTTCTGCCTCTATTATGTTGGGCGGCATTCTAAAAATTGTTTATCAGTCCAGTAGCGGAATTGAATGGTTCAGTCCGCCCGTAACTAGTTAACCAAACTATGACACTTTAATTATTTATAACTAAGAGATTTCGCAAATTGTTTAGGGACTACAAAGAAGCCCGTTTACTTCACTCAAACAATCAATACTTATTTTAGCTGTGCATAGACAAATGTATGTATGTATACTTTTTCTCTCCAGCAACACTTTCATCTTGTTATTTATTATACAATAACTTCACTCTKTCGTCACTGATAATGTTTTTCCATTAAATATTTATAAAATACTGTAGATATTTTGTTACCTTTCCATATATGTATAAGCACTCATCACTTACAGTTTTACCTTTTAATATTAGTTTCCGAAATAAATGATCACACTTCTAATATCGTTTCAATTTCATAATCAAATAATTATGCTTATACAAATTTTAATCAGTTTAAACATTTTGGTATACGGGTCGTAGAAAAAGATTGAAAAGGAAAGATAAATTCGCAATTTCCGTTTTGTCAGGGCGACGAAGTGTGTTAGTGCTGAATATGGAGTAGTGTGTTTTGTTTGTAGTGTAGTGTAGATAAATGACTGGGAAGGCTTAGCTCATTTAGCGGCGAGTGAGGCGAGAATCTAGGTCTCAATAAACACGGTGATAATAACCGACGACGCAATAATATAGCCTGTAGAGTTCTCACACTGCACTAGGTTACGCACCACAAAGCTAAAATGGCACAACATCCAGGCAGACCAGATGAGATACGGTATTGATACACAGAATCCTGATAATACCCATAATTTTACTCTTCCAGTTCAAACATCTACAATTTCATTTAAAAGTCGCTTTCTCTGTCACAATAAATAACTGGACAAACTCTAAAAGCAGTCGTTGTTCAGCTGGGCGCCCGTCGATTCTTCCATGGACAACTGCACGTGGTTTGCTCGCGTATGTCTAGAGCAAGAAATATTTTAATATACGAAGAAAACAATAAAATCCGCAACCTTGTTTACCGGGAGGTTCTGCACTTAAATTATTGACCGTTCTGGCAGTTAAAAAATTTTGTAAATTTATCTTTCCGATGCTCAAATTTAAATTATTTAGCTTTTGAAAATGTGAATAGTTATTATTTTTACTGTTAATACACAATGTATTTTCCCTATTAATATGTTAAATAGCTTTTCCCGCGGTTTCGTTCATATTAAGCCTCCAGAATAAATAACCCACATTACTAACAATACTATATATAACTAAATATATAGCATGTACATTATACGCTGATCATCTTCGTGGTAGGGGTGTTATCCCAAATTTAGTCTAATTAACAGTCTCGATGAATTTTTGTTTTGTTAGATTTTGAAACTTTTTGACAAACAATCATATCTGCCGAAATAATTTTTTTTAAATTTATTTTACTAACAAAAAATGGAATTCAATTCTTGAATTGAAACTTATTTCATTGAATGTAGTTGCAAAATTCATGATGACTTTGCAAAAGGGCCATCTACTAGGATCATCAACAGAAATAAACAAATGCAAGTTTTCCCGTCTTTCCGAGCACATTTGAACATTCTTCGGGTATATAACGAAATATGGTTTCATGTTTAAATACCATACGTATAAGATTATTAGTTATTGAAGCAATTGTTACAATTCTTTAAAAACTTTCAAAATAGTGTCCTCTGCGTCGATGCAGCGCTGCCATTGCGATTTCCAAGTATTGAAGGCGTTACGGAAGGCATTCAGTGGAATAGCCTCGGGAGCCGATGTGCGTGCTGTTGGAGTCAGCACTGTCGTCTCAAAATGCTTGCCTTTCATCGCCCTTTTCAGGCAAGGAAACAAAAAAGTGTATGGCGGCTCTGAAAGCATTGGGATGCTGGTCTTGATTAGGTGGCTGTTTACAAGAGAGGCGGAGTGAGCCGCGGCGTTGTCGTTGTGCAACTTCCAATCGCCTGTGATGTCTAGTCGGACCCGATTGACTCTTTGTTTGAGTCTGTTGAGGACTTCCACGTAAAACTTGTCGTTGACGGCTTATCTAGGGGGAACAAATTCTTGGTGGTGGACGAATTCTACGAAGTCACAAAAGACAATAAACATCTTTTTCACTTTGGACTGGCTCATTCATCAGCGACCTCTTCCCGACCCTTCAAAAAAGCCTGGTGCCATCGAAATACACAAATTCTTGATAAATCAACCTCTGGATTAGCCTGCTTGATCATATCAAATGTCTCTGTCGCTGATTTACCGAGTTTCACACCGAAATACACCACTTCTTGCCAAATAAACCTCTGCATAAGCTTGCTTGATCATATCAAATGTTTCTGTCGCTGATTTACCCACAACTCACAGAAATACGTCCGGCACAAAAAATGCAGTCCTATTACTCTCCGGACCACGATTCATTAACTATTCCGTTACCATAGATGTGCTTCGAAGCCGTTATCGTATTTGTTTTAACATCTTTCTTTACCAATTCGAATGATCGACAAATTTCGTGGTGTCTAACGTGAAAACTGAATGTTCGCTGTAGTTTCCATTTTACGATAGGTTAAATGCCGATCTTGCAATATCAGTTTGCGCACAGCATCAATAGTTTCCGGAACAACAACTGATTTTGAACGACCTTGAAGAAATATATCTTTGAGTGATCTACAACCTCGTTTGGGTTAATCTTACCATCGAGATTCAACGTTAAACAAAAAGTTGTAAAAAATTATAGCGTGRAAAAGTTCATGTTCTAATTAAATTTTTTTGGTCAGAATTGAATTTTTTAAGTTTGGTGAACTTTACGGAAAATTCCCGAAATATAAAAGGCAACCTACGTAACTGAATTATAATTTCTGTTTATTAAACTTAAAATTAGCTTTCGCAACAAACCTTTTTGTTGATTTCTCTTACTTTTAAATTAATTTCCGCAATGAAACAGAAATTGGTTTCTGTTAAATTCCTGCCAATTGACACAATGCCACACGGTTAATGTTTCAGTAGAAAGTACGAAAGAAATAGTTTTTACCATATAAAATTTACTCTATTCACTTAAAAAGTATATTTTAATAATCATACTATATGTATGTAAGAATCATACTACAAGTAAATGATGTTACGAATTTTAATCTTGAGTACATTACATAATAAAAACTCTTAGCGTTCATCCAGTGATTTCGATTCGAAAAATTTTATTTTATTAATTGCAGATTGATATAAATGACGTGATTAGCAACATTAGAATATTTTCGTTACTTTCTGATCCAGGAAAGCAGAGTGGTATTTCCGCGTTTACGAAGTACTATTATGAGCTGGTTCAAGTATTAAAGGATCATATCAACTTCAGAATTGAATTTCGTGTTGCTCGTGGCTGGGCAGGCAGGTTGGCTAACACAAGCTACAGGCTCGGTTTTTTGGGTATTATGGCTCGAAATGAAGCTGATGTTGGAGCTTCCGGCATATTTAATCGAATTAACCGTTTCTCAGATTTTGATATAATACATCAAGGATGGAAATTTGAAACTGCATTTATATACCGAGCGTATGCACCGGAACTAAGTTTCCAAATAAAAGGAGAACATTTCTTGATTCCTTTTAAAAGAGACGTTTGGCTTGCAATTATATGGTTATTTGCAATTGTATCCTTAGTATATTGGCTTCTAAGTAATGTAAATTTAAAATTGCAATTGAAGAATAATAAACAATTACTAGATACAAAGTGTTTGCAACATGTAAAATCTGAGTTAACACAAGAAGAACATAAAAGAGCATTTGCTGAATACACAAATGATTACAGTTCTAATTTAAGAGACACAATACCCGTCCGCAATATTTTTTTAATTATCATAGCCGCTATTTGCCAGCAGAGCATAATTTCTCTTTCGCGATCATCTGCGATAAGAATATTATATTTGGTGATTTTTATAAATACTCTTTTGATATATAATTACTACACGTCTTCAGTTGTTTCTGGATTATTGTCTTCCTCTATACAAGGACCAGAGAATATAGATGAAATAATTGCCAGTTCACTTAAAGTATCTTTCGAGGATATTGGATACTATAAGGTTTTATTCAGAGTAAGTCACGCACTTCTAAATGTTTGTTTTCAAGTTATATATCAACAAATATTAGAATATCATATCTCAGTTTATTTTTATTACTTTAATTATAATTGTTCATAATGCCAGTAAATTTAACAACATATAGTATAAGTGCATTGAAAGATGCATCAAGCAATCGAATATATCATTTGAGGATCTTGTTTAAACAGAAACATGGCTTTTACATTTGTTTGGACAAACATATATGGGGTACTCACAACCTGTCATAAAGCACCGTAAAATCATAAATTCTTATACTAGTTCAAAAAATTTGTTTCTGGATTGCATACTAAAATAAGTTTACGCAAATACAACTCTGAACGCTATGTTTTCGGATCGTTATAACTTTTTGAGACTATGTGAAACCCCTAATTTCATAAAAGTAACTTTTGCCCCTTAGGACCGTATTTAAGGCTACTACAATTAACCCTACAACCCTACTCGGTATGCTCGAGCACCCCACAAGTTCTGTTTCTTTCAATTATTTCGTTTATTTTTATTSCATAAATTTGATGTCTCGCGAAGTTAAGCTTGAATTCACGCGCTTCGCGTTTGGATTGGCCAGTAAAGCGGCAAAAGTCGGTGGGTGTAGAGGTGCGCAACCAGAGGTAATACCGCCAGTTCATATTACATGAACATWTCTATTATTTGTCAAAAATATATATATAACATGAAACTTACGACCCATATGGTTCGTCATAAGTGGACTGGATATGTAGTTTAGAATGAAATATGAAACACTGTACTTTGCAAAGATGTAACTCATAGATTGTAAGATGAACTTTTCCACTTGTAACATATGGTCTATCTTAAGTGGATTGTAGATATACTTCTTAGGCTGTAAGATGAATATTTGTAAATAATAAGTAATATTTAAGAAAGATAAACTCAAACTGAAAATTAATTGACAATCCTGCCATTAGAATCGTAAAARTCCTGTTCGACCAAAATATAATAATAAGATTCGGCGGTAACCATTTAAGGGGACAAAAATCCCCGTGTTACCGTTTGAAAATCAATCAAGTATCCTCAACTGAGGCAAAAACACTAAAAAAAAAAAAAAAACGCAAATAAGTATCGCGAACTCGCGAAAGAATAAATACAGTGGTACCTGGACATACGAGTTTAATTCGTTCCCCATACAAAACAATTGAGCTACCATTAATCCGTTACAACCTCCAAAATGTCACTCCAGTTATTTTTGTTACGTGGTTTTGATTAACAAAAGCGTGTTTATAAATATAAAATATTTATTACACAAAAACAAAAAAGAGAATGTAAAGAAATAAATTAGACATCCTCACTGGTCTTTGCCTTGCTACATTTTTCTCGCTTTCACCTGTAGGCCGTTTAGAAAAAAACATGTCCAAGGAGGCTTGTTTCTTCCTCCCTCTCAGAATGTTCCGGAAATGAGTTAGGCAAGTGTCATTAAAAAGGTCAGATATACGACCTGTTGCAACTTTTTCTGGGTGTTTTTTCCCACGAACTATGAAACTCTCTCCCACATTCCTAAGATCTCCTTTATCTCAATATGCTGCTGTGACTGTTACTCTTGTATCTCCTCAGTCCTCCTCAGTTCCCGGTTGTGCTCCTCGATGAGCTCGTTCACTTCTCTCTCTTTAACCTCTAGACCCATGGATTTCTCGACCATATTTTACAAAGAAGCTGATGCATGCTCCTTATCAGTTCTTCGTCACCGTGTTTGAATAGCTCGGTCGGCAATAAATCAGCCCTGCCGCTTTGGTGTTCAACAGGCGGGTAGCTGTTCGAACTTCTTCATGGTCGGGCAGTGGAGCGTCTGCCCCATCATCATCTGCCATTCAGCAAGCTGGAGAAGTGTTCCCTCCATAATTATAGTATGCTTTGGGCATCGGTCGCTAAATATTATTTGGGGGTTCTACAAGAGTATGCTCCGGTCTTGAAACCTTCCTTTTTTGTAGAATTTTCGAGCATTACCCCTGTCGGCCAGCTTGTCAAACTCTTCATACTCATGCATTTTGACCTCTCTCTTTTTATGTCTGCAAATGCGTCTCGCTTCCCTCTTAAACTCTCGGTTTCTATCCCATCTCCTGCGTTTTGTGGTCGATCGTAACGTTGCGAGGTAGACAGTCTGTTTTCTCTCCGCTGCGACGTTGTACCAGCTGTTCTTTGCATTTTTCAAAAACCAATAGCTTCGGCTACAGCTGTAAGTAATGAGTTTGAAATGCCGACCCGCAGTTCCCTTATACCAAGTTATTGACGTGTGCTCTCAGGGAGCACGAGTACAAGTCGAGTAGAAAATCTTTCGGCTGTCTGTTGTGATTGCAGCTTCTCGACGCCGAACCTCCCTTGTGTTTGCTGGCGTGCGATTTTTGCTGCACAGAGGCGGGTGCGAATTTTGACTGCAACAAGATAGTGGTCCGAGTCGATGTTAGGACCTCGGAGAGCACGCACATCTAAAACACTGGAGACGTGTCTTCCGTCTATCACAACGTGATCGATCTGGTTGGTGGTTTTTCGATCCGGAGACAGCCAGGTAGGTTGATGAATCTTCTTATGCTGGAATYTAGTACTACAGATAACCATATTTCGGTCCCCCATTATGGAGTCTCAATTTACCGACCGTAGTATCAAAGATAGAAGGCATCTTTAGACACATCCCCTTTCTCTTCCGTCGGTGGCTGATAGTACTCGGCGACAGAGTCGCTCTCCCACTATGAATTCCAGACCACTGTAGTAAATGCAACAAAGACCGACTAGCCTTAGTCGTTATCCCGTCCATCGCATTTCTTGCACAGCGGTGATGTCAGCCTTTATTTTCACGAGGACATCAACCACCTGGGCAGCGGCACCTTCCCATTTAAGGAATCGGACATTCCATGTACATGCACTCAAATTGTAATCATTATTTCGTTTAGTTTTCATTGGTACTGTCTTTTATGTGGCGGATCCCAAACCCAGTGTTCAAACCTTTGAGGGGAATGTGTCGCCTTCTCACTTTAGCTCGCCTTCAAACGGATATTCTTAGGCTACCCAGAAGATACTCGGTTGAAGGCCGGAAGTGGTGAGCTTATTAAAGTTTTTATACTGTTCACCATGCGCAGCTTAGCAGTAATTCAGGTTTAGCTGGATAGCTTTCAATTAATGAACTTTTTATACGCTTCCTTATTAAGAGGGCAACTTTTACTACCTATTTGGTGGTTTGAGTTTTCACTACTCAAGCACCACAAAACGTAGTCTTKTCTCATGTCTGTGCGAAGTTTCCCTTTTCGCTACACCTTAGATAGCACTTGCTCCTGTCATCCGAATTGCTACATGTTGTTGCCAGATGTCAATATTCCAGACACCTGAAACAACTCTTTAAATTAGTTTTTTCTCTTAGCCTGTAGACTACCCAGCCTATCCTAATTTTTCACCCATCTTAGAGTATCCTTGTATCAGGTTTCTTCTTTCGCACTTTAGTTCGCTCGTACTTTCCATTTGGGTTTCCTCTAGTTCAAGCTATATTTCTCCTTTGGCTGTTTTAATAATACTAAGAGCTTCTGCAAATTTGATTAATTTCTGACTTTCATCAGGATGTTAGGACATATCTCCAGAGCTCACTGTGACTTACGGTCAATCTTCATGTTGCTTAATGGTTTGCGCTTTACATTTTCCTTGCTTTCATCTTTTTTTGCTTCCTCTATGCTGATGTATTTTAAGTTTGTTCCGCTTGCGCATTTTTCAGTGTGTCTTCATGCATCGTCTTATTCCTTTCAGGTGGGGTTTGCCGTTTCGGCGTATTTTTCTCGGCCTCTTTGGTGTTGCTTCCGGTGTTGCGGTCCTGAGTACATTCCGTCATGCATCCATCATTCTTGTGTGTTCTTAGGGCTTTTGAACAAAGCTTTTCTACAGAACTGAGAATGTCCCTGATTTTGTTGTTTATTGTCAATCAGTCTTTTTATAGCACTTCCTAGATTTGAGATGTAGTCCAGGATGATGTGTCACTTTGACTTGGCGGCCACCGGTTTATTGACTATGGGCGTCTGATTAGGCGATCGGGCTATCCTCGGTACTCACTTGAAGGGATCTACTTCCGCATTTGGGGTCCTCAYAGTTAGGTCTGTTTCTGATCTAGAGTTGCCGCTTCCATTAAATCTGTTGTTTGTATTGTGTCTCGTATTGTTTTCCATTGACTTTTTTTTGTTTTTAAAGCGCATCGGGGTTTGGGGGGTGGGCCGAAATAAACTAGAATGGGTATACCCCGCGGACAATGCCTCTACCCCAAACACGAATCGGCGCTCACCCGGGGCAACATAGGCTACTACTCCCATGCCCAATGCACACTTCCTGACCAAGGAGGAGCGAAGTGGCTGTTTACTAGGGTGGGTCGATTCCGGAATTTTTTCGATTAGGAAAATGTATAAAACAAAAGTTATTTGTCACGTCATTGCTACCGGTGAAAATAGGCTTGCGGCCACACTCCTTGATTTTGATTTTGCCGAGTGCTATMACTCACATTCATTCACCTACGCCATAGGACACGTTCGGACTGGTCTCCACACAAATATTTTTTCATCAAGTTCCTTCGTTCTTGTCGTTGATTTCGCCGAATGCTATCACTTATATTCTCTCAACAGAGCACAGAACTCAAAATGTCTGTATCCAAATTTAAATTTAGACAGGAATGTCCTGTGTTTGGCATATATCCGTAAATCTCTCTGAGCCCCAGTTACCTATTTACCAGGATGTTCTTTTGTGTTATCAGTTTGAAAGATTTCGTATAGGGCGACTCCGAGGCGACAACTATGAACCTAGGAGTAAAGAGGTTASAGAAATAGTTGCAAAAAAGTTTGAAAATACTTTCAAAAAGTCATCTATTCCGATAGTTTCACACACCAGAGTTGTACAAATGCTCACCACATACCATAAGAAATTTCTGACTTGTAAACAAATGTTTTTAAGGAACCCAATAAGTTTGAGCTCTAAAAGAGACGACTTTGTCTCTTCTGCCGGAAAATTTTTTGACATCGCTGCTTGTAAATGCATTTATTTTTCTTTTTGCACTTGTCCCGAGGAAAGGAAAGTTCCTCTCAATGAACAACCATTTCTGTTGGACCAGAGAACCAGAAGAATTGGTTGCATTGTAAGTGTTGATCTACCTGAAACAAAAAAGATTACAAAGAAAAATGAACGTAAATAAAAGCTTTCAAAACGTCATTCAACATCAACGCTTACCAGAAAATTATCAGCTAGAACACGTGAACATTCAGATCAGCCAGACTCTCATACAGACGACAACAATGTAGGTGCGTCGCATATGGATTCTTCCAAAAACAATGCTGATGATGAGTTTTCTCTTCCATGCTCTAAAACCAAACAAAACACACTGCTTTAGCTGCCCAAAGATTTGGAGTAAGTGATAGAGCAGCGGCCTTGATTGGAGTTAAGCTCCAAAACACCGAAAGTATTGACTCTCTAAATGGCTGTATTTTGACGGCCGCAAAGACAATACACTTACACAAGTCAGCGAAGGTGAAAAGTAATACCGCGACACTGTCAAAGAGGAACATATTTCTCTTATAGCGGAACCTGGTTGTCATTACTTTGGCCACGTCACCTCTCCTGCCGGTTAAGTTGAGGATGAGATGCAAGCTATATGGCAACATTTGCAAGA